CCCCAGGCATCCGAGGCAGAAAGGCTCAGCCGGCAATGTCACCCACACCGCTGTGGGCACTGGCACAGGGAGGAGAAAGCCAGCAGTGCTGGCATGCTCCCCGCTGCCCTCGCCCGCTCTGAGCGCGTGGGAAATTCCCCTGCCTGCCTGGGGTTACTGGGAGCAGGACCCACCGGGGTCAGCACCACTCTGCGCAGCCAACCCGGAACAGCTGTTCTCCACGGCCGCCTCTGCTCAGGGGGCTCGAGCCCCCCAGCTCCTTCACCCCCTGCATGTCCCAGCTGCTGCAAGCTGGCTGCAGGGCACCGGGACTCCCCTCAGCCACAGGACCACCCCACTGCTCGGGCGTCCGACGGTGTCCCTTGGATGCACTCAGTGCTGGAACAAGTTAAAGGCAAGCTGGGAGTGCCTTCGAAAGCCCGGCACGGTCCCAGCTTTGCCGCGTGCTCTGTGGTCCCCTAGGGCGAGCCCTGCTGCCTGCCATGGCTGCAGTACCGCTCTGCCCGCACTTCCACCTGCCTGCTGCTGCCTGGCACGTCCCTGCCCGCTCAGCCCCACACGCTGCCCCCAGACTCTATGCCAGCACCCCCCCCGCTGGCTCCTGCAGCTCCCCGCGGGTGCTCCCGGGGCTGGCACTGCCAGTCTGTGTGCATCCTGCCATCCCCCTTGCCTCAGCCCTGCTGCCAGGGATGCCCCTGAGGCTGCCAGTCAGGGGACCCCCACACCTCCAGGGCTCCCCTCTCCCTTTTCCTGCTCCAAGCCTGCCTGTCTTTGCTGGGTTTCCCTCTCTTGGCCTTTCTCTTGTTCTGCTATCACTCTGTCGCCTGTTTTTGCATGTTTCCCTTCCCTCTGTCCTGCTGCCCGCGTGTCCAGATGCATTCAGCCGAGGTGGTTTGCAGCTTGTGCTTCCTCTCCCTTTGCCAGGCAGTTTGTCTCGCTCTCCCTTCCCCCTGCTTACAGCCCTTCTGACACCATGGGATTATTTTGCTTTTTCCCCTTGTCTTGTAGCTTTTGGCTCCCAAGGCCCTTGATTTCCTTTGGAGTTTGGGAGGAGAGACGTGGGGAGGAGGGGGGGGCGGAGAGCCTGCCTTTCCTAGGGCCTTCGTCAGAGCGAAGCGGTCAGGAAGAGCTGCAGTCCTTCCACGCCGGAGAGCAGCGAGGTGCCGGTCTGGAGCCGCGGGATCGCAGTGAGTGGGGCTCCCCAGCTCCGTCCACCCCACGCTGGGGGGAGCTGGGGGGAGCTGGGACTCGCTGGGGTCCTGGCTCCAGTGCCTGGGCGGAGGAGAGACAGTTTTCTCCTCCTTTTCCTCTTTGTTGCAGCCATCGCGTCCAGGAGGGGGA